TCATCTGAGCGAACTCGGATAATGCCAAAGCATCAGATCCTAGCTTCGCGGAGCTTCTATCATCTCTGAAAACAACTCCGCCTACTTGTAACTCATCATCCCATGATTCAAGTTCAGCCTTTCTCCATATATCATATTTACTGCCAGAAACTGCCCAAATTTTGGAGCCTACCATCGATTGCTTCCACTTAGTCTGTTCATAGTTCTTCAGAGAAGATATCGGCACATCTAGTCCTGCATCAATGTCTTGCAGTTAACAACCAGAATGACAAACCGGCTTCATTTCCAACTTCTAAAGTTCTAATGTGGCGAAGATATGAATATATAATACACAAACGATAATGATAAATATGATGATCACATACCATGTGATGAACGACAGGAACTGCCATACCGACACCTCTGCTGCGTGAAAAACTTGCAAATCTGCACAAGTGCGGTGCAGCGTTAGTATCAAAGACACAAAACAGCAATTGCAAAGAAATGCCAGCAGTAACCGTCTCACAGTTACTCTTTCACAGCCATTATGCCTATAGCAAAACCTAATCCAGCTACATAGACAAGCAAAACTGAGGCTTTCAATAAACTCTAGCCACCCTAGCTAATGACTATGGAACTAAAGACTACAAAGAACTCACCATCATACTCTCGGATGTGGGTGTAAGGAAAGAGATCTTTGCAGAATCAGAACCTTCAAATCCGATAATACGACCATTATACCAACGACCATCGGTATGTCGAAACCTACATTTCGATCCATCCAAATCCTTTTTCTCTGGCTCCAATTCATCCAAATCTTTAACTCCAGCATCATGATTTAGACCATTCAACACTATATCAGCTTCTTGCAATAACCGAGCTCGTTTTAAGTGCAAAAGCCCTTCCTCCACCTCTTTGATTGCAAAAATAAGTTCTTCATGGACCTTAAAATACACAAAACCACCACAACATGAGATTAAGAACACAAATTGCTGATAATGAACATCAAGATTTTCACCTCTAGCTACTTTAAGAATAAGATTATCAACACAAAAGATACAGAGCAATCACAAATATTGTTGAATCGTAGTTCTTCAGGAAATTTGGGGATCTGATTTCAGAGAAGAAAATTTACCGAGAGGAGTTCGGGATTAGAAGGGTCAGAGATTAGGGCTTCGTCAATGGCGGAAAGAGATTCTTTTTGTTCCTGTAGCTGAATGTCAAGAAGATCTTCCAGGGCTTTGTTTTCTTCGCTCGCCATGGGAAGATGATTCTAGAGTCTCCCGCGGAGGAGGAGAAGACGAGAGAGGAAGAAGAAAAGAAAGAAAACTTCTTGGGTTCTGGGCCGACCCGGAAACTTAACCGGGTTTCAATATTTATAATTTTTCTTTTTATCTTTTAAAATCTTTTTTTCCATTATTTTTATTTGTGGGCTTTTGGGTTTGGTTTGCATCCGGTTAGGTTCAATTTGATTTGGTTTTGGTAAATTTTTAGTTATACTCTATTTTTGTTTTTGTTCGATTTAGTTCCGTTTGTTTCAGTTCAGTTTTCTATGGAATATTTAGGGGGTGATTGGCTAACACTTTCAAAACTTTTTTAAAAATTAACAATTTTTACCGTTTTAATTTTTAAGAGAGTTCACCTCTTGTGCCACAAAACGAGAAATGTTAACCACTCATGCCACCGTTATGTTTTATTTTTGTTATTGAATTTCTTTTAATTCTTAAAACTGAGTAAATGACCAAACAACCAAACGAAATTCTCTTAATTACGACCCAACCTAATATTTGATCCAAGTCCACGAGAAAACAACCCGGCCCATATCTTATTTACCCTAATTCTCTAAAAATTGTCTAAGTCTCTGTGAAAAAATTCAGAAATCGTAAAAACAAAATCGAACTCTCGAGAAAACGAAGAGTCCGACGCCATTCTCATCGGAATTTTCTTGCTTCTCCGGCGTCTCGTCGTCTCCGCCGTCTTCGTATTGCCTCGGAAGTTCGGCCGTCGTCTGCGTCTACTCCGTCATTCGTCTCCTCCGTCTCCTCCGCGTTCGTTTGTCTTTTTGTCTCCTCCGCCTCCGTTCAGCGTGTCTTCGTCTCCTCCTTATATGGCTCGCGTGAGAATGAAAGGTGGAGATAGGGTATATGAATCAACAGAAGGGTGTCGAGAAGGGGCTTCAAATCCGGATCCAATAGAAGCTTCGGCGGATGCCGCAGTTCCAAGAGAAGCTCCGACGGATGCTGTTTCTCCAACAGAAGCTCCAATGGATGCCGAATTAGAAGTTCCTTCGGTTCCGTAATTATTTGATAAAGAAGAGAAAGAAGAAGCCAGTGAGTCAAAGGAAGAAGAAGTCTGTGAGCATGATAAAGAAGTTAGTGAGTCAAAGGAAGAAGAAGTCCGTGAGTCTGATAAAGAAGAAGAAGTTAGTGAGTCAAAGGAAGAAGAAGTCCGTGAGTCTGATAAAGAAGAAGAAGTTCGTGAGTTGTCAATTGATGGTCAGGGTTGTGATGATGAGGAAGAAGAGAGAGTTAGTGATGCTGAGGGTAGAGAAAGCAGTGGCGATAAAAAGGACGAAGAGGTTGCTGGTGTTAAGGTAAGTAAAAGTTTGTATATGTTGTATATGGTGTTTAAGGTAAGCAACAGACTTAGTTTTACTCAGTTGTATGTGTTTGAATATGCAGGGCATAGCTGAGGAAGAGGAGAGGGTTAATGATGTTGCAGCTGATACAGATGAGGATGATGATGATGAAGAATCCCAACCACTGCCGCCAAAGAGCATGTACTTTAGTCCAACTGAGTACAATAAGGTATGTAAGGTAGGAAGTAGGTGTAAAGTTGGCCAAACAGTGGCCATGATAGAGGCATTTGATGAGGAAGTTAGTTGGTTTAGGAATCATGCTCAGTTTAAGCATATATTCCACATGCCTAAGGAACCAAATCACATGATTCAAGGCATGTGGATGCTTATGCTTCGCACTGCTCGCACGGATATGGAGAATGAGTGTTGGTTTGTTGTGAATGGAGTGCCTATAAGGTACTCCTTGAAAGAGCATGCTTTGTTGACCGGGTTGGACTGCCATGAGTACCCAAAGAATTATGAGAAGAAGGGTAGTTTGAGGTTTGTCAAAAGGATATTTGGGAGGACAGACATAATCAAAATCAAAGATGTAGAAAAGAAGTTGGCAGCTATTAAGAGTGAGAAGTGTTTGGATAGGAAGAAGCTGATTATTTTGTTGTTTTTATGTGCGGTTGTGAAGGCTGATTCTAAGGGTGATGGGAACATAGAGCAATTCCTGTTAAGGATTGTTGATGATGTTCATGCTTGTGAGATATTCCCGTGGGGAAGGTATTCTTTTGAGCAATGTATGACAGGGATCCGGAGAATGATGAAAAACATGAAAGGTGAGGTGAAATCAAAAAGCACAGAGCATCTTTTTTGGATTCATCACTCCTCTTGAGGTAAAAACTTGTTAATATTGTAATGAGTTAGTGTTTAAGTTATAGTAGTAAAACTGTGTTATTGTGAATTTGTAGATTTTTGCATTTGAGTGCATACCACAGCTTGAAAGGCGATTCAGAGAAGCTGTTCCCGCAGCTAATGACTGTCCAAGAATGTGCAAATCTAAATTCACTGACAGTTGCATGAAGGGCTTTACCTTGGATGAAATAAACCAAGCCCTTGGTGAAATTAAGGTTAGCTTTTGGTGCCTTTACTTCTCTTAGTATGCATATGTATTGAGTTTGATGCTATGTGTATTTGACAGGATATCTCAAGCATCTTGGAACCTGCTATGGATGAGAAAGAGATGTTGTCTGGCCTTGTTGAGAAATATGTTGATGAAGGGATGGGATTTATTGATCCATAGTTGGAGAGAGCAGCTGATCACAAAGAAGAAGAAAATCTGGTGGAAAAGTCTATACCAGATGGACTTGCAGGCTCGGGGTTTTGGTGATGTTGTCCCTGAAGTTGCTGGGAGGCTTGGTGATGTTAAAGAAAGGGATGGTGAAGTCCCGGAGACGCTTGGTGATATCCTCTCATTACAGTCAGCTGTGGACAAAGGATTTGCGAAGATCATGGAGAAGTTTGCTGAGATGGACAGCAAAGTGAGTATGCTGGATGGGAGAGTGAAAGAATTAGAGGGTTATGTGGCAATCCAGCTAGAGAAAGAGCGGTACAATGAGTATCATCCAGGGACTTCAAGTGATTTTGTGCCGACCTATTGTACACCAACTGCTAATCAACCAATAGTGAGTCCGACAAAGGCTTTGGTCCTTCACAGTGGTTTCACAGACCCTAATCCAATCCAGATTCAAGAATTGAGTGAGTTTATATTTTTGTAGTTTTTATTGAAACATACATGTTCTAACATTTGAGTTGTGTAGGTGATGAAAGTGATCAGGAGCAGCTGGCTAGGAAAGAGAAGGAGAACAAGAAGAAGAAGAGACAGCGTGGCCCTACAATCCAGACCGGGCAAAAGAGACAAAGGAAGCCTTCTAGGTTTATGGCTGAAGAGTTTACAGCAGAGGGGAAGGGGAAGGGGAAGAAGAGGCAGAAGAAATAGGTGATCTTTATGATGGGTTGTTTTTGTGTAGGACAAAACTTATCTTTTTGAGTATTTTGCGGTTATCTTTTATTAGGATTAAAAAGCATTGTACTATCTTTGGTTATGTTGTGGTTTAGGTGCATTTTATGTATTTGAGGTTTAGGATGAATCATACATTATATTTTTAAAAATTATGCATCTGGTCCAACTACTAACAAACGTGGGACAACTATTAACTCAAGTTGGACAACAGGGACAACTACTAGTAATCCTGGGACAACTATGTGATAAACCAAGGACAACTATTATTAAAATAAATTTTAAATTTTAGTTGGACCAGTTGATCCAGGGACAACTACTAATAATCCAGGAACAACTAAATTATAAACCTGGGACAACTACTATTAAAATAAATTGTAAATATTAGTTGGACCAGTTGATCCAGAGACAACTACTAATAATCCAGGGACAACTATATTATAAACCTGGGACAACTACTATTAAAAATACTTAGTAAATACATATAAGTCGGAGTTGTACCGGTTGAACCAAGTACAACTAGCATTACTGCAGGTACAACTACTAATAAGACTTCATGAAAACACAAATCCATATCCAAAATACAAATTCAAATATTACAAAGACTAGGTGGTAATCATACAATATTACCAACTTGAAAGTAACCCCTTAAGCCTCGCAATCTCGACTTCTTTTGTGGCTAACCTCGCTTTAAGGGCATCAATTTCTTCACGCATAAGACGAAGAGTTTCCCGGATCGACTCCAAAGCAGGTGGAAATCCACCCCTCACAACCTCAAGAGAGGTTAAAACGTCAAATCGTAGGTTTATCTTGGACAGCTCCTCCGTAACCGCACAATCCCACCACTGAACTAGGTGATCTCGATTAACCTTATATTCGTCTCCATCCTAGGAAGAATATAGAAATTTCAAAACCAACAAGTTGTACTTAGTTGTTCCAAAATTGCAACTAAACCATACCGTAAGCAATGGGCATCTGTATACGCGCTCTCCTTGTTGCTGTCATGTTATACACCGCTCAAGCTTGACCATTAAACCGCAGAAACACCTCTTGAGAACACCATAATTGGCGTCCGCATTTCGGCATCCACTGTTGATACTTTCTACGGATGTGGAGGGTTGGGAGTAACTATAAGGCATATCTACGGTTTAGAAAATGAAGCTCGGTAAGTAGATCTGACCATTCAATCAAACATAAATCAATTAAATCTTACAATTTTTTGGGTAGATCTGAAAATCTTACAAATCTCATATACCCTAATTACCATAATTACAGATCTACTAAATTGAAGTAGTCTAAGAGAATTGTCATACCTTATAACGGCGAGAGAATGAAGAAAAATAATAGATCTGAAAACCCTAATTTTTTTGGGTTTCTCGTGAAGAAGAGAGAAGAAGAAGAAGAGAGAAAAGAAGAAGCAGAGATAAAGAAGAATCGAGATGTGAGAGAGAGAGACTAGTCAAAGTAGGTGGGATCTGAAATAAATCAGATTCGAATTAAAGTAGGTGGGCCCGGTTTGAGTCAAAAACTAGTGTGAACACATTTATGTGGGACCCCCGACAAATAGATTTTCTACATAGTTGTCTTTAGATGTTCAGTTGTCATAATTTCCTCACAGTTGAACTATTTCAAATTTTGCAATTTTATAGTTGAACCTTAAAAAATACCATAGTTACCTAGTTGTTCACATCAATTTCCACATTATATTGGTGTTTAAGAAGTTTTCATAGAATAAATTGTCAGAAAACATAGTTTCCATACTTATTCCATCTTTGTAGATGATCTTGAACTAATTGTTGCTTGTTAACTAAAGAGTGATTTGTGTAATTTTGGTTTTTGCTGACATTAATTATTGATAATGTTACATATCATATATTAAAAATATTAAATTTTCTTTTCAGAGTGTAAAAATGTTTTAAACTACTTATTATTGTTTAATTTATGTAATTTTGTATTTTTATATTTTTAGTTGTTTCCAGTTGTATCGGTTGAACCCAGAAACCATTTTTACTAATATTGCTAAGAAATAAAATAGTTTCTATTACAAACTAGTCTTACAAATAATAATCCATATATTACAAAGCGATATTAGTCTTACAAATAAAAATACAAGTACAAAGTTGTTTAAGTTGTTCCGGTTGAACCCAAATGGTTACACAGTTGTTCCGGTTGAACCCAAATGGTCCAGTTGTTCCAGTTGAACCTAAGTGGTAAAATAGTTGTACCGGCTGTACCAGGGAATTAATCAAGTTGCTTCTGGATCCTCGGGCTGCATCCATCTCTCCAAGTTAATTCCTGGAACAGCTTTGTTACTCTTTCTCCGTTTTTCTCCAACGGATGGAAACCGTTTATCTTGATTTCGTCCTTTTGTTGGGGTGTATTCCGGCGGGTCACCCTCCAAATCTTTAATTGGCTCGGGAATAATCCATTCTGACTCATGTGGCACTACAAACAACGTCCTGTAATATGCCAATGCCCAAGTATCTATCAAATAAAAGACGGAGCAGAGTCCATATATGCTTACATCTGCAGTTCTCCCTTCCTTGCGGCCTAGGAACCTTGCTGCGGCAATGGCATGGACACACGGGTACTTGTCTATATCAAAAGTCTTGCAAGAACAAGTTTTCATTTTCAAATCCACCAAAAAGCTTACCGAATGGAGATCAATGACGTTGTATTTTTGTCTATAACTGTTAAGCTCAACAACTTTTAACGTGCAGCAACTGGACATCGAGCATGCAAGATGTTCTCCACAAAAGGCACAACTTGTGATGTGCTCGATGCATTACCTGAATCTTGCCTATGTTTGTTAAACCATTCAGAGAACTTCTCAACAAGGGCATCAATCATAGGTAAGAGGTCATACATCCTCGCTTTCCTAAACACAGCATTCATTGACTCCGCAGCATTGCTAGTATCGATGTTGTACTTGTCTCCTTGGAAATGGCACCTGGACCACTGCTCTCTCTCTATAGTTTTATCTAGATAGTCAGCAGCATTAGACCACCGACTCCTAAAAATACCATATTCTCTATTGAACTCACTCTCAGTATAAGCATGAGCGCAATCCATGAACTTAGCCGCAGCTCCCTCCTTATCAATCTTCGCACGGAGTCTCAGATTTTGAGACAAATGCCATATACAGTGTACATGATGCGCATTCGGGTACACCGTCATGACAGCCTTCTTGATGCTTTGATGCCTGTCACTAATAAACACCAAATCAGGAACTTCTGGATATACAGTTTTCAGCTTCTGGAAAAACCATATCCAACTAACATCCTTCTCCGCATCAATCACACCAAATGCAAGAGAGGGTAATGGTGATGATTAGGATCATGAGCTGTTGCAATAACCAACATCCCACCATATACAGTTTTGAGATGAGTTGCATCTACAATTATCACTTTCCGCATTGCCCTGAAGCCTTCAATGCTAGCGCCCAAAGCTATGAATAGGTACTCTAACTTCTTCTCTTCCAACTCCACACTTGTTACAGTCCCTCTATTTACCTTCTCTAACATGTAAAGATAAGAAAACAACATCTTGTAGCTTTTTTCCGGTCCACCTCTCACTTCACTAACATGCTGCATTTTCCCTCTTAATGCAGTGGAGTATGAACAATGCACACCAAGTCTTCCTGTCACAATAGACATGATGCTTTTTGGATTTGGGGTCTGTAGATTACCTGGAAAGTCAGCATGCAAAACAGCTGCTATTAATCGTGGTGTTCCCCTCTGTACACTATTGCTTGTAGACTCAACAGACCGAGAGCATGTATGGATCTTTCTATGCACTCTAACACTCCAATAATCTGATTGCTTTGTTCTCGCAACTCGTAAATACCATTTACACCCTTCAGAATATTGTTTGCATCGTAACATAAGTCTCACCGGGTCAGACTTAACAGTTAAAACCCCATAAACTTCTTGTTTTGCAGCTTTGTTTACCAATTCCCACACTACCTCCTTAGAACAAAATTCTTGATAAAGTTATATACCCGTACCATCTTCCCATTCTATATTCTTCGGAGTACCTTTTACACGATTTGGAATAGCTGGAATATCATCAAAATCACACATACCATCCACATCTTCATCCAAATGGTTATCCATCGACCTTTCCACAGCCACAACTTCCATACCTGTCACATTCTGACACACTTCATTCACCAAAACTTCATTCACTTCTTTCCCTAAAACTTCATTCACATCATTCTCCAAAACCTCACTCACATCATCTCTTACAGTTGCACTTATTCCTTCATCACCTCTCACATTTGGAACTAGCTCTACATAATTCACACCAACTGAACTTCGACGCTCCAGTACTAAGATTTCCACCCTCTGGTTATTATCACTTAATACCTCCACATGCAAAACTGGAATACGACCCTCTTCATCACATTCTGTTAAAAAAATGTATACGACCTCATCATCTATAATATATGTCTCTCTCCGAGCTTTAGATAGATTGTAACTCAGTTTCAGATTCCCGGGGACTCCATTCTGGCCAACCTTCGTAGTGATCTTATCTAATAGAACCGAATAAGTTATCTTCTCTAAACATGCCGTCTTAAACGATATAGCGTATAGTGAATTTTTATAAATCCACTCATTCCCTTCTGAATAGTACCCTCCATAGTCAAAATGTACGTTAGTCTGGCTCTTTTTCTTCATCGCCTCCTGAAATTACAACAATTTTAAACATAATTACCAACACAATTTGTCACAATTATACTAGTTGTACCAGTTGGCTTACAGTCTATCATTTGTACCAGTTGGCCTACACCCTAACAGTTGTACCAGTTGACTATGGAGGGTACTATCCTGAAAATACAACATTTAAAAACATCACAAATCTACGCCATTTTTCAAATTTATACTAGTTGTACCGGTTGGCCTACATACTATCAGTTGTACCAGTTGGCCTACATACTATCAGTTGTACCAGTTGGCCTACATACTATCAGTTATACCAGTTGGCCTACATTCTATCAGTTGTACCAGTTGACTATGGAGGGTACTATCCTGAAAATACAACAATTAAAAATAGCACATACACCATTTATCACAGTTATACTAGTTGTACCAGTTGGCCTACATACTATCAGTTGTACCAGTTGGCCTATAGACTATCAGTTGTACCAGTTGGCCTATAGTCTATCAGTTGTACAAGTTTAATAATTAAACTTAGTTGTACCAGTTGTCATAGCTGTCCCAGTTGACTGAGATCTGACTCGTAACTACATAAAATATGACTCGATTCAACAATGGACGAGCTACATTCGTTTAATAACCATTGCAAATACCTCCATTCGCCAATATACATTCGATTAGCCCAAATAAAACCCAATTTTCATTTCAAATCCCTAATTTAAAAAAATTTCAGATTACTCATAAATTACCTAAAATCCAAACAATGCAGCAATGTCAAGAGAATACATGAGAAGAAACTAACCGATTTTGAGAAGGAGGAGGCGCCTGTTGAGCCGTAGTTGCAGATCGACGGGAGCGGCGGAGGAGGAGAGAAAAAGAGCGTCGGGGTCGGGGAGAGAGAGGGAGAGGAGAGAGACAAAAACGATTTTGTTTTTTTTTTTTTTAATTTCTTCTTCTTTCTTCATTAAGGGTAATTTCGGCATTTCACATTTTCAATGGCATGTAGATTTTTTAGTGGCATGCCAGATCTTTTTTTTCTGAAAAGTGGCCTGGATCCAAGACAATATAGATCATAGATTCAAGCTCTTTGAGTTTTATTAAGGTGGATTAGGCAAAGAAAAAAAAGATAGATAAATAATAATAAGCTACTAACTCATCGAATCAAGAAAAAATAAAAAATAAAAAGTAAAAAAAAAACACCAAATTTAAATAATTCTTGGATCAATTATATATATAGGAGAGAATTGCTTAAAGTGACAATTATCTAAGTTATAGATATTAGTGTCCATTACATTACTTTTTTTGGGCAAAAAATAAATTCAAGTAAATTAATATCCATAACTAAAACAAACCGAATAGAACAAACCAAACCAAATTGAACCATTCCAATAGAAAAAAAATCTTAACCAAATGAGTTTACATGCATAGACTATGGTTTGGTTCTGGTTGGTTTGAGTTAGGGGTTTGGACGTTTGGTTTAGTTTTTTTTCAGTTCGGTGAAGTACAATTGTACCATCATATGTATTAAGCTTTTTTTGGTATGTACAGTAAGCTCCTTCCCAAATTATCATGTTGATGATGTTGTAATATTACCTCAACAAAGGTTGTTTGACCAAATTGCATCTCTAGAGTCCCTTACGTGATAAGCAATGCCTTCTACCCTCTCACTAAGATTTTGTTAATTAGTATCCAAACATTCAAATCTCATTGTCGTGTTTAATGTGGTTTTTGAATGTCCGACCAGTAATTGTTGGATCGTTTGGCCCATTTCCTCAGAGGTTTGTTCTCTCGATCATGTGGCAAAGACGATAAGGTTGGTTGGGGTTGAGATTTGTAGTTCTCTTGAGCCCTCGGTGGAAAACCTAGCTTATTAGATCGTTCTTGGTTGTAAGGGTTTTGTTTTGGTAGGCTTGATATTGAGGCTTTTGTGTGGTAGACTTGAAAAGCCTAGGCTTGTAAGGTCCAATTACATTATTTTTATTTTTTTGGGTGGGAGATCCAGTTACATTATTGTGTATACATATGTGATATGTTTATGAAAACGAAAAAACAAGAAAAATATATTAATTACTTGAAACAATATATTCATTTGCATAATACTTTAACATATGTATACGTTTTGATTTGCAACCATTTTTGTAACATAAAAAAAATCACTTATTAGGACAATCGTCCATTTATATATACACAAGACAAATATAAAGTAAGGAAATTATTGCATTATCAAATTAAAATTTCTATAACTTACACAAATCTTGGTATTTTAAATATCTATCCACAAAATTAAAGGCAAAACCAGTAATTACAGATGGTTGTTACAAATACAAAAACAAATTACCAACTTTGCAAGTTGATCTCATAATAATACCAGTCATTAGGACAACCTTTTTTGTAACATAAAGATTAACTCATTAGGACAATCATTCATTTATACATAAGACAATTATAAAAAGTAAAGAAAAAAATCATTGCATTACCAAATTAAGATTTCTATAACTTACACAAATCTTGGTATTTTATTATCTATCCACAAAATTAAAGACAAAACCACTAATTACAAAGGGATGTTACAAAAATAAAAATAAATTACCAACATTGCAACTGGATCTCATAATAATGCCACACTAGGTTCCAACATGTATATATAAACAACCTTCCTCTCCACCAAATATTCCAACAAAGAAAAGCAACTAAGAACCCGCCATAACAAAACTATGATGTCGAAGAAGAAAGAAAGCATCGGACGACAAAAAATTCCAATGGTGAAAATAAAGAAAGAGAGCCACCGGCAAGTCACATTCTCGAAACGCAGAGCCGGTCTCTTCAAGAAAGCTAGTGAGCTCTGCACGTTGTGTGGTGCAGAGATTGGGATCATCGTGTTTTCTCCTGCAAAAAAGCCTTTCTCATTCGGACATCCGAGTGTCGAATCTGTATTGGATCGTTACATGTCTCGAAACAATATGTCCTTAGTTCAGACGCAGCAACCGCAAGGAAGCCCTGCAGCGAGCTGCGAGCTGAATATGCAGTTAACGCATATTTTGAGCGAGGTAGAGGAAGAGAAGAAGAAAGGTCAAGCTATGGAAGAAATGAGAAAAGAGAGTGTGAGGCGGTCGATGATCAATTGGTGGGAAAAGCCAGTAGAGGAGATGAATTTGGTTCAGTTACAAGAAATGAAATATGCATTGGAGGAGTTGAGGAAGACGGTTGTGACAAATATGGCATCGTTTAATGAGGCGAAAGACGATGTGTTTGGTTTCTTGGACAACAAAGTGACGGCTCCTCCTTACATGAACATGTCTTCTGGTCTCTCAAGTATTTATTATGCCAACGGAAATGGTTGTTTCTGATTCACAAATGCTTTTGGTTTTTGTGATTTTTTTTTTTGGTAGCAATAGAAAGAAAAATGAATCAAATAACTTGTAGGCTAGTATCTTGCTAGCTGTATTTTCTTTCTTCAAATTATTTTTGTTTCTTTAGCACCATAGAGATAATACGATAAATGGATTCATGTCAACTTGTCAAGGATCAAATCTTTATTAATGTTTATCAGGTTGAACTACTTGAATGGTAGATTATATGTTAAATGGATATATACCTTTAAATTATGATTTTAAAAACTGATAGCTTAGAGTTTCATCGCTTGTTAGAGGTTTTTTTTTTCATGTCTTATGAGATTAATGAAAAAAGATAACAAATCAGGTAATACAACCAAAAACAGAGCATAATCACTCCAAACCTCCTCAATGCGGTTATGAAGCCAGGCTTGACCTCCCATTGCTAGGTATGAGTTGAAACGCCCATCTCTCGTAACACTTTGAGCAATATTTCTAGCCAATGAATTCGCTTTTGGCGTGGAGACAAAGGATTTATACTGCCATGGATTGCAGTCAAACAATAACTCAATAAGTCCCAAGTTGTCAATATGTAGATCTCGAAGACTTTGGCTGGTCCATAGAAAATACTAAAGCTCAGCTGCAATGCGGTTGATAGTAGGAAAAAGAGCATCCTGGTTTACGGCCATGAAAAGAAGCTGCACGAGTGTAGTCCCGAACAATCCATGCTCCACCACAAATGAAGGCTTGCTAATCCATGAAGCGTGGACATTGCATTTCATCACACCCATTCGGCGTTTTCGGCATATTTTGGACAAAAACTTTGGTTCGGTTTGTTTTTGTAATTGGATGCTACATTACAAAAATACATAGATATACTACTTGAATATCTACCTAAATACTTTCCAAACCGTTGGTATATATGTTGGAACTCAATTTTCGACCCTGACCGGTTGTAAAAAATTGGTTGAATCTACAGTCTCTCAAATATACTTTTGACTAAATTTGTTTTCAGATTACCAAAAATCTTCAGATCTTCGATGTTGAATTTTGAAGGAATGGAGATCATAAAATAAAATCTTCAGATCTTTGATGTTTGACCCAAGTTCAGTTACATAAAAGAAAAAAATGTATATAGATATATAATAGTTTCAGTGAGTTCATAGTACTGTAAGAAATTTTTAGTCATTGTATCCAGCTATGTTGAAATTTTTACTCCTCACTCAGTAATTTTAAAAGAGAAGAAATAAGATAATAATGAAAACCAGTATCATTTTATATTTCACACATCTTTATTTCATTATACAATGCTGTTTTCTCTTGATTGTGTTCCTGATAATTATGGAAGGACACAGAAACTCTAATGTGGACTTGTGGCAAAAGACAACTTCAATCATACGACAGAGACGACTATTTGGTTAATGGCATGACCATTGAGTGTGATTGCTTCCTTGGAGATGGCATGACGATCATAGAAACCTTTTAGTCTGTCAAATATTTCTTCTACTACTGATTCGTCGGTTCCGATCGATATCCTCACCCAATTCTCTGTCCCTAGAGCCACTCCTACGAAATTCCAACAAAAAAATAATTATAAATAGAAAAAACCAGAAAAATTGATCATAATTAACGATTAAAATCTATAAATCAAAATCATATATTTAAGAAGATGATTATAGGAGCCCCAAATTCTTAAGATATATGATGTTAAAGAGATCGTTACCTGGTATAAGGATAAGACTCTCCTCACTAACTAGCTTCGTGCAGAAATCAAAATCATTTTTGATATTGTCCAACATTGATGTGTCAAGCTTCAACTGTAAAATAAATCGTTTAAGCTAATTAATCAGTTATATGTATATCGATAAGAAATATGTTATTGTCATAAAAAATATATGGAGAATCCAATAACAAAAAAAAATTAGAAGCCAAGAAAAAGAAAGTACCCATAAATAAGAACAAGATTCGGGTTTCTTGGGACAAAAGAGACAAGGAATGTCCTTGAGCCTCTCACATGAAAGCTCGACGTTGCGCCTCATGGCTTTGATCTTCTTGTCGAAGAACTCTTTAGGTGTTTTCTCCAATTATATCAGGAAGTGCTTCCTACAAAAACCCATATGTGGCTAGTGCCTAGAGATTGATGGAGAAGACGTCTTGGGCTGCTATTACAATCTACCTAATCAACAGGTCTCCTAATGCATCACTAAATTTCAGGATTCCATAACTTTTTTTTTTTGTCATGATAAAAGATGGATTAAAGTTATTTCAGATGGTTTCGGTGTATTGCATACATACACATTCAACATGACAAGATTAGTCCTAGATCTGTTTCAGAAATATGATGGTCCATGCGGAGAGGTTTAAACGAATTGATTTGGTCACCTATCTCACCAAAATGCACTTATACTTTCAGTCAAACGTCCAAAGAGAACTCCACAGTTAAGTGTGCTTGAGTTGAGAAAATTTCAGGATGGGTGACCTTCCGGAAAGTGATTGTGAGAAATGTGTGAGTTAGGACAAAACAAAACAAAATATCATGTGGTGATTTGTAGGATTGATAAACATGTCTTTAAAACCTCTCGGACGTAGCGAACCGGTCATCGGACAAGAATTGAATCCACTGACCCGAAAGCGGACGTAGGTGCTCACTGGTTGGGGCGGTCGTGGGTTACAAACATCAACATAGTCTTTGATTAGAAAAACTATACAATGAAATTTTTTATATGTTAAATGGATTAATGTTGGTATTGAACTATTTTCAATGGTAGATTATATGTAAAATGGAAATAATAAGATTTTAAAAATTAATAGATTATATTTTCACTGCATGTTATAGGTTTATGGTGTGTTTCGACATTTTTTGGATAAAATCTTTGGTCCGGTTCATTTTTTTTATTGGGTGCTAGATTACAAAAATATAAACCACTTGAATAACTACCTAAATATTTTCCAAACCATTGAAGCCTTGGAACTCAATCTTCAAGGCCACACCGGTTGTAAAACTTTATCCTAAATTTTCTGTTTACTTATCAAAGTTCTTTGTCTAAACCTTCTACTCATGTCATGTTAGAGCGTTTCAAGAGTTTCGAAAAGAATAGGATTTTAATTTCTAAACTTGTTAATTCTCGAGTTTTTTTAGGTGTATCGATCTCAACCGTTAGTCAATTTAGTGAGTTGAATCACGCTATTGACAAGAAAAAATTGAGAACTAGTCTAAATTATGTAAGAAATTTAAAAGATATGATTTTAAATACCAATTTAATGTTAGAAATACGACGAATGAACAACTTTTTTTCGTGTTGAAACGGCAATCTCTCAAATAAACTTTTAGCTAATTTTGTTTTCAGATTACCAAAAAATTCATATCTTTAATGTATAATTTGTTAGGAAAGAAGATCATAACATTTTAAATTACTTCCCTCTCAATTATCAAGAACTTTTGACCAAAGTTCAGTCACATAACTTACTAAGGAATTTAAATAGGCAATAGTTTAAATGAGTTCAGCATACTAACACTCTAAGAAATTATATATCGTTGTAACAAACTACTTGAAACCAAATAGAAGAAATAGGATAATAATAATGAAAACAAATATCCTTTTATTTTCACACATCTTTATCTCGTTATCAAATGTTGTTTTTTCTTAACAAACTAGTGATCTTGATAAATATGTACTTTTTATGGACTTGTGGCATAAGACTACAACGATCAAATGACAGAGACGACGATTTGGTTAATGGCATGACCATTGAGTTTGATAGCTTCCTTGGAGATGGCATGACGATCATAGAAACCTTTTAGTCTGTCAAATATTTCTTCTACCACTGATTCGTCGGTTCCGATCGATATCCTCACCCAATTCTCTACCCCTAGGGCCACTCCTACAAAATTCCAACAAAAGTTTTACATATAAATCGAAGTAAACCAAAAATTTTTGATAATTAATGATTAAATTGTTTCAACCAAGTTTTTAAGATATTGTTAAAGAGATCAATACCTGGTATTAGGATAAGACTCTCCTCACTAACTAGCTTCGTGCAGAAATCAAAATCATTTTTGATATTATCCAACATTGATGTGTCAAGCTTCAACTGTAAAATATATCGTTTAAGCTAGTCAGTTATATGTATATAGATTAGAAATTTGTTATTCTTATAAACAAGAAACAAAAGGAGAATCCAAGAAAAAGAAATTAAAGTACCCATAAATAAGAACAAGATTCGGGTTTCTTGGGACAAAAGAGACAAGGAATGTCCTTGAGCCTCTCACATGAAAGCTCGACGTTACGCCTCATGGCTTTGATCTTCTTGTCGAAGAACTCTTTAGGTGTTTTCTCCAATATATCAGGAAGTGCTTCCTACAAAAACCCATATATAAAAAATTGTTTAGAGAATCAAAGCTTATAGCTTATGATGACATGTGTTGTTGATAGTGAGAAACTACAAACCTGAAGAATAAATGAAGGTTGTGGAGTTAAATCAAGAAAATCCTCTATTGCTTGAACTACCTGTTGTGAACGAAAAGCCCACATTTAATTAGACTCTTCTTAATTAGTACATGATTATTACTATTAAAACTATAGGGTTTAGAAGCTGACTAACCCCTGTAGATATAAAGATACCCTTGGGATCGTTCATGGCGATCCAGCCAACTCTCCAGCCCGGGACGACCCACCCTTTGGATATGGATCCGAGCGTGATCACCGGAGCTATCGATGCAAACTTCCCCATGGGAATAAAAGGCATGTCTCCATATACAACATGATCGTATACTTCGTCGGATATTATCAATATACCGAGTTTCCTAGCCATTTCCGCGACCCTAAGATTAATGGATACATAGCAAAAACGTTAGTTGTTGTACATTGAGATAAAATCTTATATTATGTCACACGTTTGGTATACATTAAAGCAATATGGGAAAAAGAAAAACCTTGTTGAGATGGTCGTAGGTGTAGACGTTTCCACATGGATTATTGGGGTTGATGATAACCATTGCGACGGTATTCTCATCCGCAGCAGCCTGAAGGCCGTCGAGATCGATTTCCCAATCACTCTCGGGGAGAAGATCGTATTTGCGAATCTCAAGGCCGTTATAGACAGCACGAGCATCGTAGTGAGGATAGCCCGGCCTTGGAAGTAGAATGTTGGCGGCTGGATTTCCGGCAAGAGAATCTAATACAATCTCTATGGCTTGGTTACATCCTCCGGTGATATACACATCTTCTGGCTTCAGCTTCGTTGGAAGCTCTACGTTTAAATAATCAGCCACCGCCCTGACATAAAAATAACGTAACTGATGAGTTCTATTATCTAATAAAAAAAAAAGTTTCGGTCCAAGCTTATAAACAGGGCGGCTCAAATTTTATTTGGACCTTGTGCACATTTTAAAAAAAATCTGAAAATTATACATATTATAAAAATTTAGGATTTTATTTACAAAAATTCTAAAATTTAGGACGCTAAAACCTTAAAGAAAAACAAAAAAAGTTATGGGACCCAGTGCTTGAGCACCCGTAGCACCATCCCTAAGCCGGACCTGCTTATAAATATATATATATTTTAAAATGATTGTTATTGTATAATCTTGTTTTTAGTAGCTTTCAAAGCAAACCTTCTAGCCTTGAAAACTCCCGGGCTAGGTGCGTAAGAGTTAGCCATGCCGGAGCGTGCGGCTGCAGCCACAGCTTCCTCCGCCTCGGGGCAAGTCCTGAAGTTGGGATGAGCGGAGGGCTCGCCGGGAGTTGGGAACAAAATGGTCTTTCCACTGTTCATGGTGCAGTTTTTGAACATCCCGAAAGCAAGCTTTCTCAAAGTCACCGCCGCCGCATCACTCGTTGCACCGTTTCCTTTGAATCGCCAAACGTTGGCGTTTGCGTTACAGTTGTCATCACCGTTGCTCGCCATTGATCTTTCTGTCTTGCGTTCGAATTCTTCTTTTGGTTGTGATAGTACAAATTTTGTGTCGTTGGTACATCTCATTTTAGTCGAATCCTTTATAAAGGATTTAAAAAGTAAAGGGTCGCAAGAAGACTACGAAAATGAAGACCATAAAATTAAGAATAATAATCAACATATTCCACATGCAGCAAACAATATTTTAATCTTTAAGACTATACGACGAAATTAATGATATTTTAGTCTGATTACACACTTGCACAAAAAACAATAAATTATTCGAACTCGTGAAACACTATTTTTTTTTTATTCTAACTCGTGAACCACTTTTATTTATTTATTGATTTGTTCTTTATAACTTAAATAAAACGTGAATAGACTTTTTAATATATGAAACAAAAACAAAAAAAGACTTGATGGGCATGTGGGCAGCGGCTGGTTCTTATTGACTCAATGTCACATATCTTTGTTTATTACCCAAATAACTGGTGATTTACATGTTAAGGCACTTAGAGCATCTCCAATAGTGTATCTTAGGTGATTCTTAGCAAAAAATCTTAGATTAAAATACTTAAAAATAAAATAAAACTTTGTAAATTGCTAAGAAGTGCTAAGAAGTATATCTAAGCTAAGATTGTTTTGGTGGGTTAAGAAGTGATGACGTGTCGAGTGGTGGTTTGTCTGAGAAATGAACAAAAGGAAAAAAAACAAAATCCCGTGTTTTTGTTTCTTCTCTCCGTCGACTCTCTCTCTATGTCTCTCTATTCTTCGACTCCTCCGACAGCGAAATCTCTCCGACGCGTTTGATCCGCCTCAGATCTCTCGCTCTTTCGTCTTCTTCTTCTTTCCGATTTGCACATCGTCCTCTGTCATCGATTTCACCGATAAAGTTACCGAATTTTCGTGCTTTCTCGGGTACCGCAATGACAGATACTAAAGATGCTGGTAAGGATGCTGTTCAGAGACGTCTCATGTTTGAAGACGAGTAAGTCTTTTCTTTGATTTCTTATTCTCTCTACTTTGATTTCAATTTTTGGGTGTTGCCAAAATTTTACATTTTTCTTTTAAGTCGTATTCACGAACCTGGTTTGTCTTCATCGTTGGGTCACTGGGAAAATGGAAAGAAAATTGACTAAGTTAGGTAATTGGATTTGGAGTTTTTTCGATTAACAATGATTTAGGAACTTGGGTCTGTTGATTTGTCGACTTTGATGTAATAAAAAATGAGTTTTGGATTTAGTACTTGTTAGGGCCATCTTTTTTGGTATCTTCTGTGAAAGGTGTCATTGTTTTTAGGAGGAACATAGTCATGTTTAGCTATGTTCACAGGTTTTTGGCCAACAATAGATTCTTCGGATATATATTTTTGTATATCTCCTTTTAGACAATTTTCTGATCATAATGATTGATTTTTTTGCTATGATGGAAGTGTTTCCTCTAAGATTTTTAGGTTTCTTGATGCATAGTACAAGAATCTATACGATCTCTCCACCTTAATTTAGTGATTTGATTCTTCGTTTTCAATCTTGCTTGCAGATGCATTCTTGTTTATCGTTCTCCTATGACTGAAGTCATTGAACTTAGTTACAGTTGGGGGGATCAAGAATTGACATAGCGTGGGTGATTTGATTTAATGTTGATCTAGCTAGCACCTTTGAGTGTCCATGAAATGTCTTAGGTCTCTCCGTGAATGTGAACATACTAAAATGATAGGAGGGCTGTTTAATCTCTGTATATTCCCTTGTTCAAGATACTGATACCTTTTCAAATTTGCAGGTCATCTGATGGTTGTTCTCCTCTGTTTCTCTCTGTGACATCTTCCCCTCTGTTTCAATGATGATACTAGCAATTCTTTAAATTCTCCTTTGTAATGTGTTTTACTCATTGTTACTTGTATTGTAAGACAATGTTTTACAACACTTTGAATTTTTTTTTTCTTAAGAACCCCTTGATTCTTAACCATTGGAATAGTAATTTGTTAAGATCTTCTCTAACTTTTCTTAGCTCCAAAACAGTGAAATTTTAATTTAAAATAAGGCTAAGATTTAAGGTTAAGAACCATTGGAAATGCACTTATAGCCAAAGTTCTTAACCATTGGAGATGCTCTTATAGCCAAAGTTCTTACACTTTAGAGACTTTCAAAACAAGAGGCACTTCTCCTTCTTTTTGGAGACAAAAATGACGCTATTGCCCCTAATTTAACTAAAGACATGTTATACACTTTCTCTCCTCTCTCGTTTGATTAGAAATATTAGTTAGAAAATAGTCCCAGCTAATCGATTTCTCTTTCTCCAACACCATCATCGATTTCTCTTTTACGAGACGAAGAAGAAGGAGATCCTTACTCTCCTCTACCGAACTCCCTCTTCCCTTAATTTGATGGGTTCTTAATTTTACTCTTCAATTTAGATTTATTCTTTGTTGAATTTATTGTCTTTGTTTTTGAATTAAAAATGTTTGGATGTCATTTGCGTAGACGAGAATGAAGACTTCGTTGATGAACTCTTCTAGCTTGTCTTCGTCAAAGAGTGATGCTAACTAAACATCAAAGAGAGACATATGTGTTCTACTCTCTATCCTAACTCTGTTCATCAATGGCCCTTTGATAACGACAGCTCAATCTCCATCTTCGTCTTCTTCAACTTCATGTAATCGAATCTGTGGAGGTATCGAGATTCTTTTTCCTTTTGGAATCGGATGACGAGACTGTTATCTCAACGACTGGTACGAGGTTGTCTGTAACACCACCACCTCTGGTAAATCCTTAGCTCCGTTCCTCTCTAAGATCAACAGAGAATTAGTTAGCATCACTCTTTGATGTCTCTCTTTGATGTTAAATTCTTTGTCTTGCAAGTGTTTGATGTTATGTCTCAAAGGATATGTTTTTTGTTTCGTTTCAGTTTCTTTTGCTGGGAATTTAGATTTTTTCAGTATCTTGATAGCAAGATTCAATTACTTATGTCCAAATCAATCAATGACTTAGATCTGAAGTTCAAAAGCTTGATTTGAGTGAATTAACTTCCAAGTAGCTCAATTTCTCTACTAGTTGATTCTATCTGATGGATTTCACATTGTTTATTAGGCTTCTCAATAAATCCTACCCCCTTACGTACCAAGAGAGAGAAAGAAAGTGTCGAAGTGGAGAGAAAAAACAGTGGTGTTTGGTGATTACGTAATTGAAAGGACCAATGGCAACGGTTCCAATTTAGACGAGTGTGATGATGGTGGGATCGATGCTGCACTTGGTAGGAATCTTGTGAATGTTTTCCTTCTGTTATCCATTTGATCGTCTGCTTAAGCATATGGTAGGTAAGGTGGCTCCTGGATTTCAAGATAGGTTTACGAAAAAACACAAAAATGCATATCCATTTATTTGCCGCTACATGGATATTTCATCAATTTCTTACACTATATCCATTTGTTCGATGTTACATGGATACACCTCCACTCCTAAATGTCATATATGAATTGATACACCTCCACTTCTAAATGTCATATATGAAGACGTACTTGCGGATTGTCAACCATAGAAATCTGTCCATTCTCCTTCAAAAATATGTTCGCCAACTTATGAAATGTGCTTGTATTTGATTTTGGTGAATTATGTTTAGATTTGGTGTTACTCATCTTTAGTGTTTCTATTTGTGGAGCTAAAACATTTTAATTTAAGAGCTGTAAAATATAGGATCATTCCTATGGTGATAATCATATGATTATATTAAAAAATGAACACTATATTCACACGACCATTTAGCGGTGAACAAATATATTTTACGGTATAGACGACGATCCATGACAATATATTTAAGATGGATTATCCACACAATATCTCTTTGGTCAAAATCAACATTCTTTTACTTACCCTTATGCTTTGTTTTTAAACCAACTTTATCATGATAACTTGTCACTTAACT